TTTTTTTTCCAAAAGTAGTAAGCAGATTAATGTACAAATGAACTTTTTTTCATTTAGTTATTAATAGCTGTGGCAGGTGGTTGAGTTTATTTTCATTTGTCTAAAAGCTTTAAACAATGTTGGGTCAGTTGATTAAAATACCCGCTAGTATCACTGGAGGACCTGACTAGCCCTTGCCGAATAACTGGAAGGGATGGCACTCAGGTTTCCTTTTGTACTAGTAGTTGTGTTATTTCTTGAGAACTTAGAGTGTATTAAGATGTAGTTTTGGCTGGATATTCGCATACATTATAATAGGCACCTCGTGCTATAATAGGCACACTCGTACTATTAAGTAAGAGAGTTGTATTGATGAAAGGTTGTTTGTCAGTCTCAGGAACTTTGGATGCATCCAGACAATGTTGGGGGAAATGGAGGAAGCATGGGATGCTTCCCTAGTTTATTTCCAGGAATGAACTGGCCCTCTACATCCTCATGTGATAGGGGTGCTTTAGCAAAAGCTTTGCTTTTAGGATAGCTTTGACAATACCTTGATGCATGGATTATTGTTAGCGAGATTAATTCAAAAGCCCAAGGATGCATTACACCTTTGCTTTTCAAGGCTGTTTAATACCTATTTTAAAAACCATAGGAGAGATTCACTACTGTTAAGGGTTTTACCCGTCAAATCAGAAGTTCTTTTGACTTAAGAGGAAAAGCATTCCCCTCCCGCCCCTGTCTCCCTGTAATCCCATATCAAAGGATGGTGTCTGAAGTGCTCTTATGCTTCAATGGGGAGCCACGATCTGGAGCAAGCAGTCTGCTTCTCAGACTCTGAATCTATTTCCCTGACAAAGCGATGATTCCAGAGCTAAAATCCAAAGAAGGTACAACTGCTGTTTTACTGCAAAGCTTTACCCTGAGCAGCATGTAATGTATTTACTCCTGCGTGCTCGGGGTCTGCAGGATATTGCAGGGGCAGGGTGCCAGTCCTGTGGCACGGCAAATCCACTTGTGTGAAAATAAACTCCTTGGGTGAGAAAGGCAAATCAAAAAAGGACCTGATCTATCCACAGCTTGCTCATTAGGGATACATTGCTGCTTTTGTTAGGCACAGTAATTATCTGGTATTCTGGCTCTTGCTAGCCCTTTTTCTCCGGTCCTGTCCCCGTCCCCCCCCTCCACCCCGGCTTTCTTCCTAACAAGATATGTATTTTCTGTGCAACATATACTTTGTCTGTAAATAAACTGGAAGTCTGGTTTTCCTGGATAAAGTGGGAATATAGCTTTCTTGCTCAGGGTGATGTTTTGCCAGTGGGTTTCTGCCTAAGCTGGGAGTAATGCTGTCTGTACTCCTTTCTATGAAGTAGCTGCCTGTTTTTGAATTCCACAAGTTAATGTGTGTTAATGATGACATGTGACAGAGGAAGTGCCTCAGGATAGCTCTGAATAATTTGAATAGTCTGGATTTTAGCCTCAATTTGGGAAGGATTTGATTCTCTCATGTTCTGGACAGAAACCTATATCTTTTTAGTGCCCAGTGTCCTTTTGGGGTTGCTAATCAAATAAGACCATTGCCATCCCAAGATCAGAGAGATATTAATGAGGTGCATTTGCTTTGATATGGTTTAATCAACTGTAATTAGATTTGATCCAGAGTTGTTCAGATGCGTTGATCCAGATGTTCAGAAAAAACATTTTTTCAGATGTAAAAATGCGGTGGCTGCTTAGCATCATGTCTTAGTTTGGTATTCGTCCGAAGAAGTCCCCCTGCGCAGCATAGCTGTTCCAGGACACCGTTGCCAGGCACTCCTTAGCTGGCTTAGGTGTGTGGTGTTTACCTATCCAAAGGGCTTAATTTTTGCTCACATCAGTTGCCCCTTTCTTTTTTTTTTTTTTTCCCTTGGTACTCTTGTCATACTGTTCACAAAATGTGACTCCTGCGGCTGTTAGTGGAAGGTTGTTCCAAAATCTCAGTTCTCTGGTTATTGCAAAACACCTTTAGTTTCTAGCCTTGTTTTCCCCCATGATTGGATTTTATTTGACTTTAAGCCAACTTTTTAATTTACCTTGCACAACTTTTTTTTTTTTTCCTTTCCACGGTGCCTTCCCCTAAGGGCCTTTTGAAGCTTTTTGGCATAATAAGGTGAAGGGTATTGGCTGCTCTTGCAGGGAGGATGCAGAGCGGGAAGAGAGTCATCTGGCACTTGGGGAGCTGGAGAGTAGGCAGGTTTGAGAACTGGGGCATTGTTCACTCTATTCACAGAGTGGCACAGATTTTTTAAAGACAAGGCACAGCAGCTTGTTAAAAGCATCCTAGCAAAAACACTAAAAGGAGTCATATCCTGTTAGGCTTAGTTTTTCGGGATTAAGTAAACCAAGTTCTCCGTCACCCTCTTGTTTCTCCAAGAGCACTGGTAATCCATTTTTGTGTTAGTTTTAGGTATTTCTGCAAGCAGTGTGATCAGTTAAGACAGTTGCCAAACAGCACTGCCCCTCGGTTGTGCTGCAGAAATGGCTGTGGGGCTGTGATACAGACCGGATCAGGTAGCTGATTTGGGTCGGCGTGGTTGAACTGAACAGTTGGCGTCATCTTGTACTAAGACACCCAACACGTGTCTTCTGTGAGGCTTGTCATGCCTGATTTGTTCAAGTATCATCGGTGACTTTTTCATAGAAGCATCACATTGTGGCTCAGACTTGTCCAACAACTGTTTGAAACGCCCAGAACACTTTCCTCCCTGTTGCTCTTCAGTGCCTGTTGTTTAACTTAATCATCTGTCTAGTCTTTAATGCCATGAACTTTTTCAATATGCAAGTTCTGTGTGCTGGTAATGTATCTTAGCTTTGCGTTAAAAATTTCAGTTTAATTTTAAGTAACAATTAGCTTACAATTAGTTGTGGTGGATCTAGTTCCGAAGCAGTGGAGTTCTCCCACAATTTTTATCTTAAAAGAAAAAAAAAATTTCAAAGAGGAAAATGCCAGATTAGCTTGCATTCTACCAGTAGGGAGTCAATGTTGCATTTTAACTCTGTTTGCATTGCCTTCTGAAGTTTTCCTTTGCAATGTGTTCTAAAGCCTTACATAACTGAGGTGAAACTAGGTGGGCAGTTGCTTAACCAAATGTTAGTAATTTCTTTTTTGTTTAGAAAGTGTCACCCGTTTTAAGTATGTGAACAATCGTTGCATTTCAGAACTGCAAAATACCTGTGTGGTTTACCTGTTGCACAAAATTGTGAGACAAGTTTAGAAGCTTATTTTGAAGTCCTACAAGAGTTGAATCAGATGCAAGGAATTAAATTATTCTCCCTTTTCTCCATATCTTCCTTTTTGGGGGTGATGGGGCTGTTAAACTAATCTTCTCAAGGAATCCCATCAAGCTGTTCAGTGTCATATTGAGTTTGAGGGGAGGGTATACTGTATAGAATCAAGTAGCTCAGAATGAGTTGATCCACTTTTTCCTGTTCTGGTACCTTGTCTCTGCAAGCTTTAATATTTGTCTGCTTTACTAGTTTGTGGATGTTCATGTATCTTCTGTGTTTCTACTCTTTATTTCTGCCAAACAGCCAGACTTTGAAGTTTCTAGATATTTAATCTGAATTGCATGCTTACAAATTTGAGTAGATTACTGTGTGCCGTGTCTACACGCTTTCACACACACGGTATCGTCAGAATAACTAAACAGAGGTCATCATTGCCTTCACAATCGCCTTTTAGGAATTTGCCAGAGAAGGATGTTTCCATGTATCATAACCGCTATTTTAGTTAAGATGAGGGCATCACCTTGTTAAAAGTGCTGAGTTCAGATTTAAGACCTTTTTTAGGATGTAGTTGATGTGTGCATTAGATCAAAGTTGTTAGTCTAATTCCTGCATCTAGACAATTCATAAACTTCTTTCAAAATGGCAAATGTAGTTACTTCATGTTCACCAGCAATATCTAAGTGTATTGAGACCTGGTGAAGATTATTTTCATTCTTTTTCTTTTAGTCTGAAAAGGGCCAAGTGGTGTTTTACCCTCTTGCTGGGTAAGGTAATTACAGGGACCTCCTCACTTCAGAAGTGTTGCAGGGCAGACTGCATAGTCTATGGATGGACATGTTACTTACAAGTTACTAAGTGACCTCACTCCTGTTTATAGTTTCAGTGCTTGCAGAAATTCTGTATGAGCTATTTGCTTTCCACCATACTTTTCTTAGCATAAAAGATTTCTTTGACCAAGACTAACTGGGTCTTGATTAACTTTGAAATACAACTGAAACTCTTATAGCAGAGAGAGCTTCCATGCCTTGTCATGGTAACCCAATGGTGTTGTTGACAGTATAAATACAATTTCCTTCCAGCCCCATCCTATCCTGAAAGGACATGGGAGGCAATTTGTTGGCTAGTTTGTTGTTAATGCATATACTCTCTTGCCAAGGGCACATATTACTGAGCTACATGGCTCACAAATAACTATTATCTTACTCTTCCTTTTCCCCTTCAACAGGAAAAACATAAATGAAAACAACTTATGAAAGGCAGATGTTGCAAATAGGAGGAAAATGCATCATATTTTATATTGAGGAAGTAGCTTTTGCTCTAACTGAACTTTTTAGTTGTATACAAACAGTTTTGCATGTATGGGTTTTTTCTTTTTTTTTTTCTGCACACAGTAGCTGACATGCTGAAATGGGACACTTGTTGGATTTGAGTATGAAATGGCAGAAGCAAAGTTGACAGATGCCCATTAGCCGGGCAAAGGCTGGGCTCACAAGTGATGGTTGCTATGTGGCATATGGAAAATGGAATGGATTGCATTTAGGTAGTGGAGAATAATCTGAGCAACTTCTTATGGTTATGGATGTGCGGTGTCACTTAAATGGATAAAAACCCCATACTTTCCTCCAATATTGCTGGATCTTTTGTTAATCCTTCAGCTGACCTTGTACTGCCTACTCCAGGATGAAGTGAGCAAGTTTGTTCTGCTTTTTGTCAGCTTTTTGTCAGATTGGTTAATCACAATATTTCTCTTTTTATAGAGCAAATTCGATTAAAGAATATAAGAAATGTATATGGAAGATGCTTGTGGTATCGTTTACGACTGTTAAAACCACAACAAAACATAATTCCTACAGTAAAGTAAGTATGTTTCATTTGCATGACTTTCCATTAAAGCAATTCCTACATTTTTATTTTTATAAAAATACATTTTTTTGGTAATCACAGCAGCTGGAATTAGTTATATAATAATGGCTTTCATGTCATAGAAGAGACATTTGCTGTAATTGAATAATTAATAGTTAATCATTATTATCTAGTAGGGCTTGAAATCAAGATGGATGCTGTTTGTCCTTCATAAAATACCTACTAAATGAAACCAGTGAACCTCAGCACTAAGAAATAAGTAAACAATGCATTTTTGTTCCAAAAAATAATCCTTCCTCACTGCAATTAGTGGCGGTAGTGATGTATTTTGATTTAAATATTTAATATGTAAACACAGACATAGTAATAATTTGTATGTTAAAAGTTGGTGGTTTTATATCCTTCAGTTTTTTATTACTCCCACGCTCAAAATATTTTGCTGTCTGTTATGTGTATGTTTCAGCTTTTTGTGTTTTTAACATTGACTTTTTCTAGAATCAGGTTAAAGTCATCCTTTAAAAATAGGAAATACTATTGTTTACCTGCAGAGGACAGACAGTTAAAGAATGGAAAGACTCTTTGTTGATAGTGGGTTGCCTCTTTAATATAAAAATAAAAAAAGAGAAAAGAAATTAATTAGAAGTCAGAGTGGCTTGTCTTATCTGTGTCAAAGGTGGTTTTATAACTGAAATACTCGTACCTGCTTTAAAATTGCTTTAATTTTTCTTGCTATTTTAGTATCATGTCTTGAAGACTGCTATCAAATGGCTTCTTATGTTATTTGTATTATTTGAGTTATAGTAGAGGTAGTGTATTTGTACATTTAAAAAATTCTTTCTTCCAAACAGGAAAATAGTCCTCCTTGCTGGCTGGGCATTATTTTTGTTTCTTGCATACAAAGTTTCCAAAACGGACCGAGAGTATCAAGAATACAACCCCTATGAGGTTTTACATTTGGATCCTGTGAGTAACAGCATCTTTCACTAATCTCTACGACTATAATGGTATATTCTATGTCTAGATGTGAAATTTAAGACTTCCTTTTTAAACACAAGTGGTGAACTTCAGTGAATATATCTAGTGGTTTTGTTCTTTTTTGACATCTGAAAGTTACTGCTTCTTAAGTCAGTTGTTAGATATTCTTTGCCTATATCTGTGCTAATTTATAATTTATGTGTCTAACCATCAAAATTCTAATGACTTTCTTAATATAGTGATTTATGTAGTAGATTTTTTAATGTATTTTGGATCTTACTGTGGTGTTGTTTTCCTTGCTTGGTTCTGGAAAAAAAAAAGAAGTCATTCTGCCTTTTATGCCCTGTGAAAATAGCCTCAATAGCCATTTTTAGGGATGCTGCTGAATTGACTGTATAAACAAGAACGTGTGCTCATTTGATTGACAGTTATTGTATGGCAATATTCCTCTTGTAAATGAAAGGTTTCACTGAAGGGTGTTGGTGATGCATATTTTGATGTAGTAAAGGTTACCTTGAATCTCAGTTGCATCTGTGAATACGAACAACAAACTCTAAATAATGATACCAGCCAATTGGTTTATTAAACTGGCAAAAAAAAAGACATAGTGTTTATCTAGAAAACAGATGCAGTGCTTTATTTATATTGAAGCTCTGATTCTAAATGGGTATAAAAAGTTGTATATCCCCAGGAGACAAATAGACCTTCTGGACATCTCTTAAACTCTTATTTAGCCTTGTCAAAGTCTTTTCTTCATCTTAACCGCAATACCTCTGGCAAATTCTCCGCTTTTGGTAATTATTTCCTGATACGAAGCTCCTCTTCCGAGTAACAGAAGTGTAATCTTTTCAGTTCTGAAGTCTGAGGTATGTTTTCATCTCCAGTCAAAGGAAGTACACTGTGGGTACAGCTCAACACGAGAATATGGAAGAACTTTCGACGTACCCATTTCGATTAAACCTGATGTGTATTGTTGGCGTGGGAGAGCTTAATAAGTACATGAACGTTAACAAATACATCTCTTGCTGTTGGCGAGGTGGCTTGTCATCATAAAGATAGGCATGACTGGTACTGCCTCTCTGTGCTAAGAAAGCCATTACAGCAGATAGATGACTCCAGCCTGTTTCTCGCTAGACGGGTAGAACAAGACCTGCCCGTCATGTGCGGCGGCAAGTTATTTTAATTCAGCCTCTGCTCATTTCCTCTGTGAATGACTGATTGTTGACTTGCCTTCTCTCACTGACGCACAGGAAAAAGATAAATTGTTACTGTTGAATGGTATCTGTTGGAGCTGTGTGGTTTAAATGTTCATATATCGGGGTTAACTTTGGTTAAACAAATCAGGCTAGGGGTTAGGTCATCAGAGGATTTTCTTTTGTCATCTTTGGCAGATTTCTGCAAGTAACAACCCTGAGGGGAAACAAGTACATGTGTGGTGAATTGTAACTTGATGTTTGTGAATGAAAACTTGTACATGCGCTCAAGATGCATGTGACTTATCCAGGCAAAGAAACCAATATGGGAATGCTCCAAGAACTGATAGAGGGATGGAGCATATTGTCGTAAGGACAAACTGAATTAAAGTCAGAGGTGTCAGAAGGGGGATGAAGAGATGGGTGTGAAGATAGATGAGTTGAAGTAGGGCTCAAAATAGACCAGAAGATTCCAGAGCGTGATTGGTTTTATTTCTGTGCTATCAGATGATGTCTGTTAAATCCCCTTGAAAACCTTCTAGTTCAGACTACATGAAGATCAACAGCTTTCTTCTGTTGCCATACAGGTAGAACCCACAGAGTTGTTGCCAGCCCTGCTGATGTGGAAGTCATACAGGTGTTGAAGTGGAGTTAGATGATGGAAATGCTGTTGCTGTTACCCCCCCCCCACCCCAATAAAAAAACTCCAACAAAAAACCCACAAGACAAAACCCCCAAATTAAAAAAAAAAAAAAAAAAGATTTGGTACACAATAATTCATTTGCTTCTTTGCATTCACACCATGGCTAAGACTGTATATTTTTTTATCTTATGTTAGCATATCGGCTTGTAACAAGAGGCTTTTTTCTCCAGAGGAGAACCACAGCATGGAGAAAGTTCAGATAACCTACATGCACCTTATTTTATATATAATATCAGCACTTTGAATATAGAATAGCTCTTTTTGGATCACATCACTTAAATTCACTAATATATAAGTCTTACTGATTTATTGACAAAGTATCCTTACTGCCATTTTACAGCTGGGATCCAAGGCAGAAAGATGAAGCTCAAAACTGGTTATAATTTTGGATTCTTTAAGTAAGAAAATTGGGGCCTTAATTTTTTTTTAAGTAGTTAATACAGGGAAACTGTGTTCCAAGCAGAGAGCAGCCTGGGACAGTTGGTGTCATGCAGCAAAGCATTTCTGTAACTCAGGGCTAACCTCTGCAGCCTAACATTTGAAAATGAGTAGTAATCCATTAATGAGAGATGAAAAAATTGTCATCAGCTTATCAGGGATTATATGCAACCGCTGTGGCCGAGAGAGAAGAAATGGGGATTTCTTTTTTTATGAGCAGCATTCGTCTGAGCTGTGAAAACCTATCTCTTCCCCAGCAACCTGATTTCCCCTCCTTCCCCCACTTTCCAGCTTCTGCTACTCATCTGGCATTCTTCATTTAGTCTTGAAATAGCTGTTTTTACTTGAAGTCTAATATATTAGACTTCATATGAGTAAATTCATCCTGTGCATTAAATGAAGCAGGCATGCTGTTGAAAAATAGTGTTGGAAACTGGTGGATACATTGTATAAAGAGAGAGGAAGTAACAGCAAATGAAGCCTCAGGGTAATTTCTGGTTTAAATTTATTGAAACAGTACCATAATTTTTAAATAACTTCCTGTGTGTTTGTTATGCAGTTAAGGTCAGCATGCTAGGCCTCTCTACCACAAAATGTTGAAAAGTCCCATGGTAATGGTTCTGTGAAATTTAGCAGATAGTAAGCACAGATAAAGTTTTTCTAGTATACTATAAAGTTTTATGTGTTTTCTTGAGTAGTGAAGTTTACAGTCTGACCTGAAAGTGAATGCACAAGGGGTTATGTTGGTGTTGGTGGCATTTGACAACATGCTGTAGTAGAATAAAAATTGATCTCTTTCTTAGGTATAGGTAATGTATTCCCTTTGTTCCAGAAGTTTGAAATAATTTATGGGTAGGATGATTCTAGTCAAGGCATTCTTAAGTGGCAGGGCAATGCGCTGTTCGTGGTGACTGACAGATTTATTTCTGCCTACAAGCTGCAAGTGAACCATCATACTTGATCTATGAACTCTTTGCTTAAAAAGTGTATCGCAAGTGAGAATTCCTCGTATTCATGAATATGTTTAGGAAAATATAAGATCTGTCAAACAGAGAAGGCGGCCTTACATATTTTTTTCTATGAATGGATAAACATAGTAATCCAGAAAAAATACCCAGCCATCTGACTGTCTTTTTGTTAGAGTATGACTTCTAGCTTGTTTTAAAAATACTATGGTGGTTAAAATATTTTTTGAAAAATAATCGTGCTTCCATGAAATGCATCTGTAGTTTCATGAATATGATTATATCATATCAGAAGATAATTCTTTAGTTCAATGAATGGTTCAGACAAATATTGCACAATGTGCTTTAGAATATAGATATAGAAGAGTGGATTTGATTTCAGGTATTTATTCATAACTCAGAACTTTCCTTTTTAAGGGAGCAAGTATATCGGAAATTAAGAAACAATACCGTGCACTATCGCTAAAATACCATCCAGATAAAGGAGGAGATGAAGTTATGTTCATGAGGATTGCTAAGGCCTATGCAGCGTAAGTTTCTTTTTTTGCCTACAAAATATGAGAACTTGATATTATGGGGAGGGAAGCCTCTAAGGTAATAAATAGCAGGGATGACCTAAGCAGCCAGGGGAAATGTGTTCATATATGTAACAAAAGTCCAAACATGTTTCAAGTCGGTTCATACTTGTTCTGTACAAGTTAGGAAGGATAGAAGGATAACTTAATTGTTTAGCAACTGTCAGAATACTGTAAGGTGTTGGGTCTTTGTATTAAACTGCCATGTCAGCTAGGAAAAATGTTTCCAGTGTGATTACATATTAAATCTCAAAGATGACAAAGAACAAAATGGATGTTGCAGTTTTTAACCAACCAACCAACCAACCCTGTCACAGCAATTCTGAAGTGTTGCTTAGAAAATAAATATACTGTTCATTTCACCTGGTCATAAAGCCAAAGAGTAAGAGACGGTATTTTAACTCGGTTCCCATCTAGCAATAAATGTTTCATTCTGTTTCTCACTCAGTTTTCTCTCTGTGACTGTTTCATATAACCTGTAGTTCTTAAAAGTTGAATCTTCAAATTCTCTTTTCCTCCAGAGTATTTTTTTGTCCTTACCTCTGCTCATAGCTTTTTTTTTGGTTTTATGTTTTTTTTTTTCTTAATCTGAGCGATGATGTCTAATATTAGAGTTCAGTATAAAGGAAATCCTTTTTTAATTGAATTTTTCCATAATCAAGATGTGGGTTGAGGTTTTGTAATGCTGTTCATACATGGAATGTTAATAAACCTTTGTATTCTTTTGTACTCTTAACGATCATCTGTCAGAGTCCAATGCTCTCTGACCAGGTTCTTTTAGATATTCCATGTGTGGACCGTGTAGTGTTTAATATCAAATTTGCTTATCTGAAGACCGTTGATGTTACACTTGATTTCTGATTTGCTGGAGTGATACATTGTGTTTTTAGTATCTTTTGTTAGTTAAGACTTAGCAAAATGCAGGAATTTCAATACACAGATCAATCACAATACTGATGTGATTCCCATTACCAGTCTCTCTAATAAAGTCACTGTCATGATGGTGGGTGTCCCCAGCTGCCAGGAAGGCATGCGTGGGTTGAAACCAGCTCAAGCCCGTTGTTCTCCTCAAAATCCTTTTGTTAGTTGTCTAGTTTTTATACTCGATTGGACTGAGCTAGGTGTGCACTCTCCCCATCCTGGTCTTGCAAATCCGAGGAGACATTCATACTTTTTTTAGTGCACTTGAGGAGAAATGTTTACACCACCAGTTGATCCGCTCAACTGTTGATAGGTGTTTATCTAAAGCAAAGGCCACCCTCCAGTCTGCTTTGTGTTGAGACAAGAGTCAGCCAGCTTCTTTGCAGTAGCTGTGGTAACTCACTGTGGTCAGTCTGACCTTCATATCACATTGCCCTTGCCCATCCCCTCTGAGCCTTCTTCCATTGTAGGGATTTATTGGGTCAGAACCTATCAAGTTGGTGGCTTCAGCTTTTAAGTCAGTTGTCTATGTGGTTGACCTTACTGACTGAGAGTCCTGTTTGGGGTAAGTTGAGAAGCAGAACCAACGCTATGCTCACTTGTGCAGTTTTGGTATCCTACTTTCTGCTTAAACACATCTACATCACTATGAAAGTCCCTTCAATAGGATATTGTAGCCTTGCTTTCTGAACTCCTGAAACATCTTGTTTTTTTGCTTTGCAACCTGGCGCACAAATGCTTGGTGATACAGTTTGATATTTCAAATGCTAGTGTAAGGGCTGTGGTGGAGGCATATCTTGAAGTAAATGACAGTGAAGTTCCTCAGCCATGCTGCCTTGAAAGAATATAAAAGTTACCCATTCAGTGAGTCTGCTTGTTAACGAGTGTGAGATTTAGAAATGATCAGAAGACGTCTGACTCGCTGAGTTTCTCCTGTGAGACAAAATCTTGCATACAGTGAATGCGTGATGTTCTGTTTCCTAAAGCAGTATTCTCCCCTGTTACTACAGGGATTCTGTTTGAGGTGCTATATTATTGCCAAGAAACTGTCATTATGGAACAGGCATAGAAACTGTAAGATTTAGGAGGTGGTGTCTTAATTTATTTCTCTCTTAAATATGAAACTAGGGAGTTCCAGGGGAAAAAAAACAACCAAACACATGCCATCAAAAGCTAAAAGTCTAGAATAAGAGAATTAAAAGCCCATATGGACAACTTCTGCTGTATCAACTCATCTTGCATATTCATCTTCCTTCCAAAAAAAGATAAAGTTTTCAACCTCTGTCTTTCAAAATTTGTTGCACAGTAACCTGGCATTGAAAAGTGTTCTTTGTTGGTGGGTACAGAGTCACTCTCATGAAAGGGAGGTGTGATTGTTCCATCCCCTGTACAAGGGTGCACCTTCTGTGTCTGATTTCTTTTGCTGGCAGAGTGCTAAAAGAATTCCCCTGTGTATCATGAAGGAATACAGCAGTATTGTTTCATGTCAGATTTCATACAAACAATAGCTGAAGCTGTTTAGCTTGCCAAACCATCTCTGAAGGATAGTATAAATGCCACATTTTAAAGTTTCTGTATGTTAATGATTTAAAGAGAAATTTCTTCTGTATTAACTTCATATCTCTTCTTGAAACTAGTTTAACTGATGAAGAATCACGAAAAAATTGGGAAGAATTTGGTAATCCAGATGGACCACAAGGTAACAATTCTGAATGACAGAAATCCTGTACATTGAGCTGTGTAATATCTGATCATTTGAGAAGCACTCTGATCTTAATGTATATAACTTTTTCCTGTGATTTGAAGCAATGCATCTGATCAATTCTTTGCTTGTGAAACTGGCACTGGTGTGGTGGTTGGAGGGCAAGGCAGGACAGAGTTTGCTTTCACATTGCTCAGATTTCTTATTAGGAAAAAAAGAGAAGGGTATTTTTTAATTAGTCAGCGTCAGTAGGTATCTAGAGAGACTTGCCCATATTAAAAGGAGGTATAAGCAAAAAAGAATAATACTCATCAGAAAATTGTCAATTTTAAACTTTTCTTAGTTCTTATGATCAGATACTATAAACGTATATTGAAAAATTAACAACTAGCTATAATGCAATAAATACACTTCGAAGGGATGTACATGAGGATATGTATGTATTTAATAAATCCTGTATGTACACCTGCCTTCCGTTTTCTGGAAGCAGTACTGTTTGCAGTACTGTTGGAGTGTAGCTCTGTCACCTTCATGGTGAGGAGTCCTGATGATTATCACTATGCTGGTAGATTGTTCTTGGGCAGGTAGCTACATGGAAATAATTCTGATGATGGTGCATTAAAGTTTTACAGTAGATGATCCAAACTGAAACAATTTGAGACTGAAAGCTAATAGATTCCCCCCCTCCTATTTGCAGTTGCTTGAGTTGCTTGCATAACATCTTTGTGACGTTTAAGTGGACTAGTTGTGAGAAAGAATATTGTATATTTCTATCTGCTTCTGATACTTATTACAAGCAAAAAGGAAATCTGCCATCTGTTAGGACAGGCCTCCGTAGATCTGTGCTTGTTGATGCCCAAACTGATGCAGTTTGCGGGACTAAGTTATACTACACATCTATGTGGAATGAGTTACGGCCAGCTCCAGTAATAAATGGAATTTGTAACTTAATTGTGAACTTATAGGGTGATGTGAGGGAACTCTGTGCGGGGAAATTCTTCTTCTGAATTATATCCATCCAACATAGGAAATAAATTTTAAAGGGGAAAAAAAGCCTCTGAAGCAATGTTTCAAATAAACAATCTTCCCTCTCCCCTCAAAAAAACAACTGTGCCAACTAAATCATAGTCTGACAAAGGCATTTCTGGACTAAGGTGGTGGTTCAGTTTCTTTAACCACTGTGTTTTATAGCATAGCAAATTTCTTTCAGCTCCTAGCTTCTCTTGGTTTCCTAGCCACGCAAGTAGGAGGACTCGGTCCCTCTTGATGCAAAATACAAATAAAGTCTTGCTTCAGAAATGCTGTCACAATATCAGCAAAGTGGTACCATAAATTTTCGTCTGGTATAAGCACAAATAGCTTTCCTGATGCTAAACTGTTTTTTTGTATCCACAAGCTACTAGCTTAGTGTTGCCAAGGCATAGGATTTCAAATTAGGTAGAATGTCAGTGCCCTTGAATGGACCTGAAGCTGTGACTTCAAAAGAAAACTCATCCAAAAGCTGAGAATTTAAAAGCATTCTTAAAACTTAATGTCCTAAATTCACTGGGTGTTATTCTGTTGAATTCCTAAGCTTGAGGTGTGGTCAGGTTGATCAGATGTTTAATTTGAGTCTCAACAAATAATAGTAGTTACCAGCTTAACTGCATAGAAGTCATGTTAGGCTTGTGCATAACAACTGGTTGTCTGAACTGATGGCTGTCACAATCTGTTGGAGACAGAATAGTATCTAAGTACATAGGGGATCCTAGTCTGTCCTTATTTAAATCAATAATCCTCATTGATACCTGCTAGTACTGAGGAAAGCTCGTTTTTGGTTTGTTTTTTTTTAAGCATTTAGACATTTGTAAAGTCTTTTTTCTTTGTTTCCTAGTACTTTCAGTGTTGGCATAGGTAGCCTTTGCAAAGTTCAATTTACTACAGCTAAAGTGTCCGAAGACAAGCTGTTTTATGCTAGTCTGTATTCAGATCTGCGTGCTGTAGATGTTACTGTTAGAGAATCATGTCTTCTATTTCATGCAGCCTAACTCCTTTTGAGTTGAAAAGTGTTCCTTTCTCGTTCTTACCAATCACACAGAAATTTGAACTGGCAGAGGGTTTTATTTTTACAATTTATAGTCTTAGAACACTTTCCTAAAGTTACAAACTAATAAAACTTTTTCCATAGAATTCATTTGCTCAAACAGTTTTCTTGCAGTTCATTTATTTACTGAATTATATGTATTTAAACTGCTGAAAACTCTGCAAGGCAAAGCTCATAAATCCTTCCATCTGTGAAATCTTTCTCTCGTTTTTTGTATATTAATAAATCTTGCGTATATTTCACTGCAATATGTTAAGCTAAACTCTTTGGTATTTCAGATGTTGCATTTAAGTCTTGCTATTTTATTGCATATAGGAGTGTATTTCAAATTTGTTTTTTGATTTTGCTAAATTTGTTATAATTTTGCTTATTGAAGTGATTAATAAGGATTTTTTGTGGGTTGGTAGTTTTGTTTGGTTGGTTTGTTTGTTAGACTTAATGCAACTTTAAAACAATTCCTTAATGTTTTATACTGAATTCCTTTTCTTTCATCCTACAGCTACAAGCTTTGGTATAGCCTTGCCAGCTTGGATTGTGGATCAGAAAAATTCAATTTTGGTGAGTCAACTTACTTAGCTCAAGATTTTAACATGAACTTTTAAGTGTTCACCTTAAAATATTTGTGCTTAATACTATGCATTTTAGTCAAAACATGTAGTTAATAATATTTTGGTCCAAATGCATGTCTTTGAAGCAAATTTCAGGAGTCACAAGCGTGAGAGTAGCTTAAATCTAACCTTTGAGAGCAAAGTATTAATATACTTGGAAGGATCTCATTGCAGTGATAATGAGGTTGTACTGTGGTCATCCGTGCTACAAAGCGTGTTTGCTGTTGCAAGGAAAAACATATAGAACTGTTTGCTGGATCTCTGTAGTCCATTTGGTTTGCCAGTGATGCTGTAATCATACAGTGTCTAAATGTTTGTTGCATTTGTTGCTGCAAGGTATTTGGCTTACCTGTTTGATATATTTTAATGCAGTAATCATCTCTGTTCGCTGCATACAGTTTAGCTGACAACTCTTTAATAGTTAAAGAAACCCACCTGAGACAATGCAGGGATGATTTAGAAGTTTACTTACATTAAACTGATACTCCTTATTTAAATCCTACCCAACTGATTATATTACTTGTATGTTATTTTTCAGAAATAATGACAGGTATCATGCATAAGCTTACATTAATTTGTAGTAGGCTTGTGGTAATACTACTTTACTGTATTTTAGAATAAAGATTAAACAAGAGTGGTATTAACTGAAGTATCTAATGCAGTGTGTTTCATATTTTTCTCTAGGTTTTGCTTGTATACGGATTAGCATTTATGGTTATTCTTCCAGTTGTTGTGGTAAGTATTTTCTAATTAATATTTTACCCTCTGTAACCAAGTGTAAACAAAGCTATCTTAGACATAAATAGAGTTGCTCATTCTTGCCTTTCACGGAGAGAGTGAGCAAGTGAGTTTTGGTTTTTTTTTTTTAACGTGGGTGTTTTATTATGGAAAAAGTGTAGCTGCTGTAGAGTTTCCAGAAAAATGCAGGACCTGGAAAATACTAGATATCACAAGAGTTAGACTGAGTTGTGTAATTTGTCTTGTACCTTCTGTCATTCATCACATGAAAATTAATACGATGTGATGAACTCAAGAGTATATTCAGTGATGTTACTGTAGAGCCAAGAATGAGATGTCTGTAGCTGGTGCTACTAGAATGATTACTGCATGTGGAACAGGTTGTTGATTTGGTTTCTCCTGGCTGCCTTTGTTTTCATAACTTCAATTTTTATTGATCTTCTGTACACCATGAGATGTCTGCCCTTGAGATTTCTGTGTGTGAGGAATCAGTTGCTAGGTGAGTGGTATTTCAGGACTTGGGTTTGCCCTACGGTACTGCTTGTGAACAAAGTGCCTTATCAAGTGATTGTGCATTTAGGGTATGGCATTAAGAAAGACTCAGAAAATTGACACCCAGAAACTTTCATGCTCTTGAGAAGAAGATTTTGAGTGTCCTGAGGTCTTAGCAACTGCTTGCATCTCTGTGTGCAGAGGCTCAGCCAGGCATTATCCCTTCTCTTTGAGAGTCTTTCTGCATAATTGAAGATGTAGTATAGAAAATTAGATGTGGAGATTTCAACAAGTTGTTGAATAAGAAGTCTAAAATCCAGTGTACAATGTCTACGTATTTTCTCTGTCGTTCTGTTTAGGTTTCATTTGGTGTCTGTTGATGCATTTTTGTATACATGTACTTTTAGTGATTTATACCAGGCTTATCATGGCTCAAATGAAAGTAAACATCCTTTCTGTTGTTACAAAGAAAAAAATAATCTGCCTTTCCTTGCCCCTATACCAGATGTGGACTTCTGCATTCAGACTTGTCACTGTAAATTTCTTTTATAGTCAGTGAAGAGGAATAGTCATTTTTATGGAGCAAGTTATTTTATCATTTCATTCTAAGTAGACATACAAGATGATTCATGCCTTTAATGGGCCTATTTCTCTTTTATGAATCAATAAAGAAGCCAAAGTTAACTACAGTGTAGTCATTATATATCTGAGATAGGCATCTAAAATAAAGGAAGGCTAGTTCCACCCTTTGAATCCATATCAACAAAGGAAAATACTGATATGTAGTTCTTCCTAGACCTCCACTGACCTAAATAAAGTTCTGTAGATGAGGTGAGAGAAATGAAGTGTATCTGCAAAAGCAGTTAGGGCAGCCTCTTTCATGTAGATTTGGCCTGGCTATGTTATATTTTTCTTTCAGTACCTATGCTTAGACAACAATGTGGTAGTTACAGGATTATAGTCTAAACTTTTCTGCATAAAAGCTTTAAAAAAAGCTGTGCATTATTTTGTGTCAGGGTTCATTGTTCATGGAATAATCAAACCTAATATATTTTAAAAAACCCCAAACTTTGTGGGGAGCCAGTCCTAGAGTATTTCCCAATTATTTAAGTAAATTGCAGAGTTCTTGTTGTAGCAGGGGAATTTACACTATTGCCTATTAAATTTGCAGTAGAAAGCATCACTTACTACTTTAATGCTTGTTACTTTTAACTTGTGATAAAGTTTACAATAGATTGAGAAAAAAGCATTTAGTTTTTTCATGTTAGTGAGCTTTGCTTACAAAGAGAAGTTTAATGAACAGACCGCAGTTCATAACCCAGCACACAATTTTTCTTAAGATATATTATAGAGTACAATCCTATACAGTGAGTTTCATAATTTGAAGTCACTGGTGTAATGCTAATTGAGGGTATTATTGGAGTGTTTCTGAAGGTTTGGAAAACTTCTTCTGTCAATCTGAAGGCATATGTCTAAATTCTGAAAATCTGCAGCAAGGGCACTGGGCCACCTCCAGATCACCATCTAAAAAGCATTTCTGATTAGGTGACTTAAATTATTTTTTGCATACTTTCTTATAATGAAATAAATCTCTTATTGGTTCTTGCTTTGCCCTTAGTCTGTCTAAAAGGAATTTGATTTTAATGCTGTGTTGCACAGTAAGGAGTTACCATGTATATAGAAAGTGGTAAATCCAGTGGGTTTAATGTTTAGTGGATTCACTAAAACAAAAATAAAGCAAGCAGTGTATATGTGTGTGTGCCTGTGTTGAGGGGAATTCTATAGGCTAGAGATCATCTAAAAACTTTCAGCATCAGATTCAGATGAATATATTGGTGTGTTTTTAAAATTTGTGTGAGCAAATATTTTTTGTTTCCCTCTCCTTTCTGAAATTCAGTTGACCTTAAGATAGGTAAAATCAGTTGCACTCAGTTACCTGGTTGTGAACAGACTTGAAGTGATCCAGCATAGCTGTTTCGATACTTCGTCATAGCTGATGTCAGTTTGTTCTTGTTAAATGTCTCAGGGTTCCTGGTGGTACCGATCAATACGATATAGTGGAGATCAGATTCTCATTCGGACAACTCAAATATATACGTATTTTGTCTATAAAACACGGAACATGGACATGAAACGTAAGTAAAAGGCATCTCAAAATGTTAATGTGTTCATCTGGAAATATCCATCTGCTGATGTTAAAATGCTTCTGCTTTATAAGCCTTTGTTAGGTTAAAATAATGTTTCTGTTTCTTTTAGAGTGTTTGTAAAGACGTAATTTTGTTGCAGGTGAAGAGTACTCTGAAAGAATACTTAAGTATTCGGGAGAGGGAATTACAGAGATCTATATTTATGTCTGTCTGTCTATACATTAAAAAAAGAAAGAAAAAAGGATATTGCATGTTGAGAAAAACATGCAGACCTGCCTGTAGTCCTGAGTTACTATGTGGCCACTAGGAGTGCAGCCTATATCTGTGTGGTTTCTTCTGTGTTTGTAACAAAAATAGGTGTTGGGAATTTTCTAGGGGCTGTCATAAAACTACTGTACCATCAAGGAATGAAATAGCATTTCTGGTTTTCTATTCTTGTTATGTTATAGCTAAATTTCTGTTTAAAATTTTTGCTCCCTCTCAATTTCATGTTACTTGTTTATAATTTTTGATATACTTGTTTTTCTTGTCTGCTCATTTTTAAAGGAATAAAAAAAACCTTTTTCTGGGGAAATCTGTAGATGCATTATGTTGGTGCAGAATTGGATCTTTCAGTTTGGAGGCTGGCATGGGCCTGAAGAATTAGCATGGTACTAATTAGTTCCAGATTGGATTTTACTAGATTGCGTGCTCAGAGCAATTGAAAAGCAGGATAAAAAAAGCCCCCAAAACCCTCTTGTTTTATGAACCCCCTGTTCATAAATACATTCTCTTACTCCTTTGAATTGCACTATTGTTCAGCTTTAGATTTACTGGAAGATTGCTGGAATCATCAGCTCTTGATAACAGCCTTTTCCTACCAAAGTGCTTCGTGTATAATACCAGAGGTCTAGGAGATAAGAGTATGGAAATATGTTAGCTTTCTAGTCACAGCACACATGGATTTGTATGTGGGATTAATTCAGACCAGTTATGCTCTCCACCTTGTAATACTCTTATGCTTTTTCCCTTTCTCTTAAACAGCTAGGTGAGAAAGGAGGAATGGGAGAGTAGGTGAGACTTGTTTAGAAGTTTAGGAAGATCATTGCAAACCTGCCTGCCTTTTTTCTCCAAACTTTTTGTCAACAGCAGATTATTTCATGTTGAAACTTGCTCAGAACCATAGCTTTGAGGCTTGCCTTGTGTCTCCTACAGATTGGTTAAAAAGTTAACTGTAGGTTTAGGTGGCCTTATTTAAGGACTTAATACTTTCAGGGTATCCTGGAGGCAGAGGCAGGTAATTTTTTTTTCCTCTGAGGTCTGTGTGTAATCTGAATGAAAAATGAGGTGCGGCTGAGGTGGCTTAGACAAACCACAGAGTGATAAGGTAAGGCTTTTGCTTGGTTGTGAATTCCACAGTGGTGAGGTACCAGTGCCAAAACTCAAGGCTTAAGCTTGGGCAAGTGTAATCAAACCAGGCTAGGGAAATGGTGAGACAAATCTGCATGACTTGCCTTGTTTTAGATACTTTATTAGGCTTCAGGATGAAAAAGTTTTTTAAACTTCCTTTCTTGAAGATCCACAGTTGTTGATCTTATAGGAAAGTATTTATAGTTGTCTGAAATGCTTTGATATGCTCTGCTCAGGAAGTAAATAGATAATCGAGAACGGAAATGAAAATTGATGCTCGGGGAACTTAACTAATTGTTAGTAGGTGGAATTCACTGAGCATTGCAACTAGGCAAAAATAACTTTGACTTGCTTGGTAAACTTGCTCAAAATTTAAGAATGAAGCTTGAGTAATTTGCTGAAAAAGTTACTTTAACTGGAGCAAATGATGGGGTGAGCTTTCTTTTATTATCTATGGCTGAGATGTCTGTTACGTTCATGAGCAGAAAGAAGGCTAAAATATCCCGTTGTGTAGGTTTTTCATCTTAATTACAGAACAGAATATTTTGAGGTAGTACGGATTTTTCTAATCACATTAGGAAAAGAGCAGTCCACCATCTTCATGGGATTTGTTTGGAGGGGTATTTATTGAGCTGCTTTTCTAATAATTAAAAGATTTTTTTGGGGTGAATTTTCAATGCTGATTGAAGAGAAAAATGAGTTTAAATTTATCCTTCTTGCCTTCCCCTCCAGTACACACATTGTGATTGTGCTGCAGGCGTGTGAATTGCTGAGAGGAATGGTTCTGTGAGCATGCAGAAGTAGTCAAACAGCTGTCCAGTGACATCTGCCAGTCCTAAAGAAGCCTAACTATGTTTTTGTGAAGACATTTAGAGTTAAATGCTGGACTTGATGCCATGCAAAATGGAGCCTTGAGCTTTGCCTTTTGTCTTGTGTCAGGCGTTGGTTCTTGCCTCCTTTGCCCTGCGGCAGTAGGAACTGATCCACTAAGGAGCGAACAGGGATATTCAATGGTTGTTGGGGGAAGAGTGGGAATAAGTTTTGTGGCTGAGGGTTCTGAAGAAATCATTGAGTGGCATAGGATGTTTCTGACATTTTCTCTGTTTGTGTCCAATTATCTTTGCAGGGCTTATCATGGTTTTAACAGGGGCATCCGAATTTGACCCTCAGTACAATAAAGATGCTACGAGCAGACCAGCAGACAACATTCAGATACCACAGGTTAGTTATGTCAAGAGTTGTTTTATAAATAACTGACCCTTTTAAGGGAAGAGGGAGATGTTGCTTCTAGGTGAACAGCTGACAATTCAAGTTCAACACATTAATTTTGTTGAGATGCAACTGTATCCCTTCAGAAGTAGGAATTAGAAGCTAGACTTGATTTAATTTTTTAAAGAAAAGTTAACATTAATTGGAGATAATGCTTAGCTTAAATGGAATCAGTTTAATATATAGACTGCTGGGTTGGATTTTTGGGGAGGGATAAATACATAGGGAGTATCAGTCCTTATAAATTTTGAGTATTGGTATAAGGGAGTGATCACCGTTTGATAAAGTTCTTTGAAATCATTAACACAGATCTGGTTAAATATGCTGAAATAAAATTGTTATTTGATGTCTGAATTAATAATGTCTTTAAATATTAGAAAGATTCTTCTGAATGTCTGTTCCCCTCTGGTTGCCTCTTATTTTCATTTGCACTTAAGTCTTCCCAGCAGAGGTGCCATAATGCATGCTGTGGCAAATAATTATTGCTATCAGTGTTTTAGTTTCTGATAAATAAGACTTCCTAAAACTTTGTTTTTAAGAAAATACTCCAATGAAAATGTTTCGATTTTGCAAAGTGAGGAGGAGTAGTTTCACAAATTTACATGCATGTAGTTGAATTTTCAAGTCGTAAACATACTTTCATGTCATAAACATAAAGAAAATAGACTGAGATACCTCTTTACTTAATTGTCTCTTTTCCAAATTCTTTATCAGAGGGGGAGCTGGAATTGTGGTTAGGTGAGCTTTTTCAACAGTGGGAGCACATGACTGGAAAACATCACCTTGATCATCGGTTCTTCTCCCATGCTGTTGCAAGTGTTGGCATTGTGCAAGCCCTTTATATTTAATCATCCTTTATTTAAAAGGCACTCGAGCTTCCTGTAACCATATCCTACAGAGAAGCTGTTCCAGAACGTGCTGTTCTAGTGGTTAGGGGTCTTGTTTGTGATCAATTTATAGACATGTTTTTTGTCATCATTATTCTTGGGTCTAACTGATCCTTGCTAGACAGAAGCAATAACCCCTTTGTTCTCTTTGTGTCTTTATGTTGCTAAACTAGACAAGCTGCTGTCTTTTAATCCTATATTTCCCGAAAGGCTCTTCATTTCCCTCATCCTGCTACATGCTGAATGGGGTACTGTTCCCACTTGATAGATTTCTAAATTTTACATTATTTTTTATTTTATCTGCTCAGAATTGTCCAAAGCATTCCATGTTAAGTCTTAGCAGTTGTTGCTAAGCAGTAGTGCCTTAGTTGGTGGCACTACGATTTCTGTATTTCTGCAGGGAATAACTTTCAGCATACTGTTTTCCACAACTGTTTCTATGGTGGTTTAATACCAAATAGCCCAACTAGTGTGAGATTGCTAAGTTTTTTTTGATTTCTCTTGTCTTATATAGATGTTTTCCAGCTAACAAGCTTCCATCTTTGAGCTGCAGTTCTTTTTAGTATGCAAGTGCATGATCTTGCATTTAATACGGTTGGATTTTGTTCCATTTCTAAAGGTCCAGTAATCAGTGTCATCTGTGTTGTGGTTTTTTTCCCCTGAGTGTATGGCAGTACAAGTCTCTGAAGCATCAATACAGAAGAGTACTGCTGCTAATTTTCATTAGTGTATCCAGCTTTTAGGGCCATGATCATTGTTCCCATTTTTATTTCACTGTTTTATCGTACACTCAGTATTGATACTTCTGATAAAGTTTTCTTATCAAAGTTTTACTCTTCTTCGTCTGGTGTTATACCAGGATGTGCTTCTAAGGAACTTCTCGTCAGAAGGTCTTTTTTTCAGCTGTAGGGAAGGACTGGTCAAAGGTCAGTGTAGCCTGGCTGTTGATGTCCTGACTTCACTTTGTAGCTGGAGGTTGTGGAACGTCAGTCTCTCCTCAGGTGACTTGACCTAAAAAGTGGGGCTTCTGGGCCATGTATTGATTCTTATAAACTATGAGCTTCTGTTACTCATCTTTGCAGCCTCTCTCTCCAGGATCTTCAACAAATTCAGGCGAGAGACCTGTTTGAATTGTGCATCTTGGTCTAGTTAGGATCAAGAGAGGTCATCCTGATGAAAGAACACCACACTTTTTTCAAGTTGGTGCTGTTTATAAATAAATTAAAATACTTGATCTTCAGCCTACTATGGAGTTAGGTTTATAACCCTCCTTCCTGTGATGCCTGAGGCTGACTTCTGAGAAAACTGGTTGGGTCTTAGATGGGTGAAAGGTCTCAAGGTGATGCTGTTGCTAGTGCATATTGAGTCTGACATAAATACTTGAGAAATATGGTTGAATCCAGTAAACCTTGGCAATAAAATCAGATTTTTAAGATATTTATCTATCAATACCAATTTATTCAATGGTGTTCAAGGCAAGTTTTTTTTGTCTGCAGATCTTTGCTTCCCTCCTCACTCCCACATTGAAACAAGGTGTTTAAAGACAGTTTTTGATTTTTTGGAGATGGGTTTTGAGTAAAAATAGCTAATGTTCGTCTCTACAGAACTTTCCAGGGAAAAGTTACTTAAAGGCTTGCTTTTGTGAATGTAACTTTCTTCTTGTAAACTGTTCTCCTCCTGTATTTGTTTCTCTTTAGCACCAAAATAGCTATTTGTGTTTAACTATTTTATTTTAGCTAATCAGAGAAATTGGTGGCATAAATTTAAAGAAGAATGAGCCTCCGCTCACCTGCCCTTACAGCCTGAAAGCCAGAGTTCTGCTGTTGACTCATCTTGCCAGGATGAAAGTTCCTGAGGTTCTTGAAGAAGGTAATGGTTTCTCCCTTGATGAGATATTGTTGGAAACAGAGCAACACATTGCATGCTACAGTAGTCATAATTCTTTTCCATTAAAGAGTTGCATGGATCTATCCTCAATAATCTCTATGCAGTGTACTTAGTTTTTCAACTTTAGTGACTCTTTAAAATACTGACTTAGCTTTTACTCATTCTCTTGACAGCCCTGTAATACTGATATCCTACTTTTTAACGTTTTTTTTGGCTGCAAATGTGATAATGACGACTTTGTTTTTTTTTTTCTCTTTGTAATAGAATTAAAAGTTAAACATGTGAAGTAGATCTGCTTTTCAGAGTAAAGAAATCAAAGATAAGCGTTCTCTATTTTTGCATTCTATATATTGCTTTCTCTAACGCTTCCACACACGGTTATTTTTGGAGTTTTTGGGCCCACTATGTGAAGCAAAGATGACAAGATTAGAATCTTAAATATCAGCTACATGTGAGCTTCAGTTTGTGTTTTGCAATTTTTCATACTTGTAAATATACAAACTGAAATGTTTTTAAAGTTAATTCTTAAGTTTCAGCCATGAAGCTCACGGTTTCTTAAGCTGACCAGCAAACTTGAGATGTTCTATATTTTAATGTGGATTAAACCAAACAAACAACAGTCGAGTGAAGGTGCTTTGGTTCAAATTTTCCAGTTTCTTTCAAAAGAAAATTGATCACTTTTAAATAGTCACTAAAAACCTCTCATCTTCCTTGCCGCTTAGTTAACTGTTTCAACTTACAGCTTCAAAGATCTATATTCAAAAGTAGTTAGTGCTTTACAAATAATGTTTTCCCCCAAACTGTTTTTTCACTTAAAATTAAAAATCCTTTTTTTCAACCTAGGTGGTTACCTACAGAATTCATGCTATTTTAATAAGACTGGTAAATTGTCTGTGCCATCCTGTTTCTTTTCTTAGATGCGTCTAATATGTACTTCTTCATTTGGTGTGGAAGCTGTCTGGTATACAAAATTTGTGTTCCCTTTTAGCACTTGTTCTTTACTTCTTTGTTAGGGAATGCTACAGATGGATGTGTCAATGAGAATAAAGTAGTATTTTCAATAATGCAAGAATGAATAGGAATGAAGACCACACCATTAAATGTCCAGTTCATGCAAACTGTCTCCTTTTTTTCCTAATAGAAGTGCAGCATAATTGCAGCCAGTTATGTCTTGCAGATCAGCAGTTCATCCTGAAAAAGAGTCCTGCACTACTTCAAGAAATGATTAATGTGATCTGCCAACTAATAATCATGGCTCGAAGCCGGGAAGGTAAGAAAAGAAACTGTATAATTTAGACTAGTAAATATGATTCTTCATTGCAGTGCTTCAGAAAGTCTTTGGTTTTTGTGGGAAACTTAATCTGTGATATTTAGAAATGCCTAAATGCACTTTTTCTCTTTTTACTGTAATTGGAGAGCTCTCAATTTTGAGGATTGAAATGCTGCTGCTGTCAAGCTCTACTCTGAAATCTTGAGTATGTGTGTTCAGCTTGTAATTCTGCAATTAAAAGTTTTGCCTTAAATGTAATTGAAAATCTTTTCTTAAAGGTCTGGTCCGTTTTCAGTAGCAAAGCACTTAGTATAAGACAAATTAAACTTTGTCTTCATCCATCTTTTAAGTTGCACTTTTACAGTTCTTCCCCTCCTGTCATGAGTGTCACTTTTTTTGATCATTTCTTTTTCATCATTTCTTTGTATGTTGCTCATATTTCTCCATTTCAGGATCCTGTGCTGTTTGGCCTGTTGTGTAAGTTTTTTCTGAACTTGTAGGGTCAGGTGCTTTGCTGTAATTGCCATAGAAATTACAGTTTAATTGAAATGTAATATTTAAGCATTTTGTATTCTTACTGTAAAAAGGCAGTTAGGCTGAACGTGGTTGCTTGCAGTGTAAAGACACAAAGACTTGGATCTTGTTCCTTTATTGCAACAAACATAGGCAAGGCAATTTTTTTAATACCAAACTGGTGAACATTTTGTTTGCTATCAAATAATACTTACTGGTTGATCTTTACTAGACCAAAACCCCTTTAATCCCCTTGATACCCTCCTAACAAGAATGGTTTTGGGGAAGATCTTTCCCAGCACTATTGGAAGTGGTGCCGGAAATCATGGTCCACAACCAAATGAAGTATGAGAGAAGAGGGAACGTGAGCAGATAAGTATGTCACATGCTGGCTTACATGTCCTATTTTAGAAAGAAATATTGATTAAGTATGGTTTTAGTTCTATTTTAAACCCTATTTTTACTGGTCTCTGAGACTTTTTCCAGGGAGAAAACTTGAAACCTGGAAGTAAACAGTAGCCATATTTCTCATTATAGAAGTAATCTCCACCTAACATTAGATTATATTTAATAATGAGTATCATATTAAGAAATTAGCTGTGGATATGTTTTTGTGAATATTGTCCAGACTAGTACTATAACAAAGTTGCAAAGATACACTGTGAAACTTTAATAGTTTAATAGTTTATTTTATAAAAAGCTAAGTAGCTGTTTTGGAGGTTTAGGTTTGTGGGATTTTTTTTTGCGTGTTAAAATTTTGCTAGCTCAGCCAGTCCAAGTCCACATATTATAGCTAATTATGAAAAGCACTTGAATGAAGACATCATTTTACTTGTTCATAAGCCCTTGTGTATGCCAAATTAGGTATGTCTTTTTTTTTAATCTGGATAGTTTTTTTTTAATAAAAATACTTCAAACCTCTGAAGGAGGTTTAATAAGGCCAAGTGTAGGGTCCTG